CTTGGTCATAGCCCATATTTCGAACCTTTCAAAGTAATCCTCATAAGCATCAAAATCCGAATGAATATCTAACTGTTCCATCGCAGGCCCCATCGCGACGCCAATATGATAATTAGAAGTATTTGAATTATAGTATGAACTAAGAATCCCAGGGATAACGCAATTGAATCAAGAAGTACTACACAAGCACTAACGAATGTACTGTATTTAGAATTCGAAATCAAACATCCAACAAGTACAAAGGAGTCATTAGTTCATTCAAACACCACAACCTTGCACTTGACGTCCAATCAAAATAAAGCGGGGATATATTATGCACACCACCATACTCCATGACGAAGGGTATACTCGTTTTTTGTTGTTTCTCCTGGCTCTCATCAGAAATGTAATGTTTTCTATGTCGAAAATACCACTTCATCATGCTACGGATTTTTCGACATAGCAGGAGACGTGAACCCAATTAGTTCTGTAGAAGCTATTCCAAAATTACCTTATGTTGAGTGACTAAATAAACGAAAACATAGTCGCTATTACTGTCGACGTTACCCAGTTTACCCTCAGCCACTGAGTACATTTGTTCTTGTCTAGTGCCGGGAACGTGTAAAAAGTCAATCCAAAGAATTTTTGGCCTCCATAAAACGGAAGCCATAAGCGTGTTCAACACTAACTTCTCTCGTTGTATATTATATTTGCCAAACAAACCAACGCTACCCCTAAACATGCATAAAGTTTAACTTATTTGCATTAGATTTTATGGACAAATAGAATAGCGCTTCTTGGATTTTTATACGAAACTCATTCAAATGATAGCCGTTGTCGATTCTTGATAACCCTAACTCGAACCTAGGACTTGGGTCCTTATAAAGGGTTCTAGCAGACAAGTAATCAATATTTAGGTCTGTATATAACCTACTACCAGAGTGACCTGCAAAACATTTTAATAGATCCACTGTGAGATTTTCTACGCCAAACAAGTTTTTTTCGCATAAACTAGCATTTGTTAGTAGTATTCTGAGTGCCTGAAAGCTGGTTGAAATTATGTTAAGATTGTTTTAAACTTGTTCCTACATCATACCTCTGCCGCTGCTTTTTGTTTGTTTGTCATCTCTGTTTTGTAGAAGCCTTATTTTCTACGCCTAGATATTTTGTTGATGCCTTGAGAGCTATTAAGGCGTAAACTATTTTTGGCTTGACTTTATTATAGCCTTATTTCATATGCTTGAAAATCTTACTGAAAGCTATAATAATATGCACTAGGTTTGTTTGTCACGCTAAATAAATATATCCACACTCCTAACACGCTTAGAATCCATTGTTATGTTCACTTAACCGATCTCTCAAGTTCTGCTAGTCAACTGAAAAATATGTTACCATAAACTTCCGCAAATGACTATTCCTTTTATGCTATCTAGTTTAAAGTAATAAGAGCGTTGGGGTTACTAAACTTTGATTGGTAATATAGAACAAGATTTTCAGTCAGATTTATTGAGATGCCCCCAGCAAAGTTACTAGGTTAATTCTAATGATGAAAGAGCAAATAAGTGGTAAATAAATTTCTGGTCTACTTGAAACTGAAATTAATTTAGTTGTGTAACTTATCTCTGTTTGAAGATTTTATTTCAGCATGATAAGTCTCCATTGACAGAAATTCTATATAACCGATTTTACAGTGCTAATATTAACAATGCAATTAGCTTCGAGTAAGCAAATTAATAATATTATTTCACTTAAGGCTTTTTGAAGTCTTTAACCGGCAGCTTTTGAGAAGAGAAAATGAGGAATGATTACTGCTGGACATCACATCAATCTTTCAAATAGCACCTCAACATTTTACGCTGTAATTCCATCAGAGATTAAAAAAACACCACCGTTACATATTTAATAAGATGGATTTTGATTTTCAGATTTATTTAAACATGACATTCTGGAATTTAGATTCTCTACTGCACTACAGCATTGGTAAATATAGTTGTAATTTAACGAACGACTTTATCGATTTAATTGTATTGTAACTTGTGCAATATAGTTAATTTTATTGGTCTTCGAAAACGAGCAAATTGTTTTGGAAATAATACAAAACGAAGAATTTTTTCAAATTAGTAAGCGCGACATTAAAATAAGCAAACATTAATGAACGAAAGCATGCAATTTGTTTGTAAGGAATTGGCTTCTATAACATGTATACAATAGAGAACAGTTGGACCAGACGAAACCAAAAATCAGTGCTAAGTGGATAACGCTATTGAGCGAACGGTACTGGATACAAGTCCTAGGGTGAACATCAACTCTGAGATCCAGGCGCACCCAACTGACGAGCCCCAAATATGACGAGACGCACAGCCTGGATTCCACTGCTAGCCACTACCCATCTTTGCTTAGAATCCTAGCTGTAGTTTTTGGTCGAGATTTGTAGCACTTTTCTAAGTAATAACCAGCAAAACAGGTTGTGGCTCAGTATAGTGGTATGCTCGTCTGATCGCACTATCTTTCGCTCCACAGATTTAAGTTGGTAAGTTAAGGTATTATTCTAATTTACATGCCTAGAGACGTTTTTAAGCCAATTGATAAAGGAAAAATGAATCCCTCGCACTACCACCTTAATAAATGCTCAAAACTGCATAGCAATCTGATTAAAGTCTCTATAAGATGATGATAAACATAGTCGACTTTCAGCTGTATAAGATTACGAATGTAATGGAAAATAGTGCAATTCAGAATCTGTTTAAACCCATTAATAACTAACAAGACGGATTTACAAAGGTTAAGGGTCCAAAAATTAGAAATCCTATGGAGAATTTGTGTGATAATAAAGCTACTTATTGATCAAAACCAGACAATTATGCTTCCTAGCCGTTTTTTAACCAATCTGGAGTCTGGACGAAGCCAGAAGTGTGGAAATATTGATATTGATGTAAGACCAAATTCGCCCTTTAACCTTGAAATTCAGGCCTAAATAAGAAATTATAATAATTTAAACGGGATTTAATGTCTTAAACTGTAGTGCGACAGAAAAGATAAAATTACAAATAATAATGCTGTCAGGGATAACTCACACATCATCTAATTTATTTCAAAAAGAAACTGAAGAATATGTCGATAGAAACATAAAAGGAGAGAACACATGAAAACAAATACGTATTTTCTTGAGTTGTGGAAAACCTTAAGAAAATTGTGTACATGCAAGATGAAAACACTTGAAATAACAGATGCCTTTCAAGCATTGCTCGAAAAAGGTGATAAAATGGAATGAGTATTCCTAAGGTGAGGCACAGGAGACTAGGCAGCAAATATAAATCGGTTAAGAATGAATATCAGCTCTAGTTGGAATGATAGGAGCTTGGTTAATTCTTAAAATGTTGTAAAGTTTGTTAGGACTGTGGTACATTTCACAAACCCCTATCTTAATGTGCCACGACTGCTACCATAGAAGTAAGCTGGAAAACATTAAAGGCCTCAAAAATAGTCCACGAAAGCACCAAATACACGGATATATACATAATAATCCCCCAAGTCGGAGAGATAAACGTAATTTTTTTATCAGAACAGTCAAGTAACGAAGCTTGGAACCAGTTCTATGACAGTGTTTCTCATTGCAGGGGTACCAGAGAACTACATTAACCTGATAAAGGCTCTCTACTCGAACACAACTGGTCGAGTGAGAGCTTATGGCGAACTGTCATCAAAATTGATTACCTCAAGTGGTGTTCGTCAGGGCTGTCCACTCTCTCCATTTTTATTTAACATTGTCGTTGACGTGCTTTTAGAGATAATACTTTCCTCTTCTAAATTTACAGGAGTTGAAGTATTATCGGGAAATCCACTTGTTGACTTAGAGTATGCCGATGACATAGTTCTATTTGGTGAAGACGCTGACAAAATGCAGTCTTCTGACTACTCTAAGCAACAACGCAAGCATGTTCGGCATGCGATCCTCCGCTTGAAATGCAAAATGTTGCTTCAGGATCGGGTTGCATCGAAACCCGAACCAATGAAAGGGAAAGAATTAGTCGAACGCATCAACCGCTTCATTTATCTTGGGAGTCTCATCAGCCCTTGTGGTCTGGTGTGTGACGAAACGGGTACTAGGTAAGGATGGCAAATCAATTGATGATGTAGTGAAACTTAATCAGTTGAGATGGCTGGGACATGCGATGTGTATGCCCGACCACCGACGTGCGATGTTTTATGGTGTAGGAGTAGGTTGGAAGAAAACTAGGGGCGGCCAGACCAAAACATGGCACAAATCCATGAAGTCACTGACAAGTGGACTGAGCCATGTTGGTAGGTGTAGACTACTAGGTTGAGGACCGCGAGATGATAGCAACCGATGGTTAGAGACCTTGAATGACATGGCTCAAAATCGTTTGCAATGGTGCAGGTGCATCCACTCGTTGTGTACTCCCAAATCCTAGATTTCTGAATTCTTCGTGTCCCTTTTTTTCTCCTTCCAAATTTATTTCACTGGATTATACTCCTTAAATAACATCTTTAAACCCCAATCTTTCCGAATACTGCCTATACTTTTACTACCTCTACCACTACACGATTTGAATCGACAAATCTATGTGTTAATGTGGTATGGCAACTCGAACTGATGTACTTACGTACGAAGTTCAAAGTTGTTGCTGACTGACTGAATAATACTTGCTCCATTATTTTTACTTAATTTCATTGGTTTCCTTACCATGTACTGATGTTGTGTGCCAATTTAGTCTAATAAGTTATTTGCGTTCCTCTATTTCCCTTCTTGACCTCTATGATCCTGTGATTTAAGCACCTGACAGCACAGCTAGATTAATAATAAAAGTAATGCAGCTCAGCAGCTGAATTGGATGTTAATGCACTAAATTACGAACAATATGTAAAGAGCGAAGATTAGTGATAAAGTCCAGAAGTCAAGAAAGAATATTAAACCTTATGCCCAAATTGCAAAAAATAATAAAAGTAGAGTTGAGAATTATGTACTCCATAGATGCAGTATTACTTAGATAAGAATATTTATTGTTATAACCACCAACAAACTGTAGATATTCACAAAAAATGAGTATTCATTAGTAATTACTAGATAGGTTATTTTACCTATGAACATAGCGACATTATTGTGATAGCACCAATATATATATATCATGAATACAAATCGAAAGAAGATACTTACGAAACTAAACCAGTTGATTTAGTCAAGTAACGTAACCATACTGTTCGTATCCCCACTGAATAGCAAAAAGAAGTGATGACTAAATGACTTAATCATTACTTTAAAAAATTTACTTTTAAGCAACAGTAATTACATAGAAAGTTTTGTTCATGCTCTTTTACATGTATCAAGTTATTAGTAGATGCACAGATCCTTAGGCAACTATTTGCTACCCAGCTGCCACAAGAAAATCGAATTTACAACCTCGACACCAATCACACTTTAATACGACCTTTGTTGTTAATATTTTCATATCGAACTGTCTTTACCTACTTTTTAAGACTTAGTTCCGAAACAATGCGAAAGAAAATATGAATAACTGGATAATTCTCAGCGTCAGTCTTTGAGATTGAACTGAATACAGCATAAAAGCTACTGAAAAGCTTTGTTTTACAGTAGGCTCCAAACGATGTAACAAACTAACTAGATGATTGTTTTCGATCTTTAGGAGTACTAACAAGAACAGACAGTTAACAACCCAAATAAGAGAATACACTTATTTCTGTCATAAACAATTGAGCTGTTACAGACAAAAAACATGCATATAGGGATAGGCAGGCCCAAACTAGAAAAGTAGTGGTATGACCCATTCGAAGATGACTATAAAGTTTACGTACCAATCCCGCAACAAAGTCATCATTTAAACAACTTGGAAACGTTGGCTAACAGATGATGAAATTAAAGATACAGTAGTCAAGCTGAACATCACTAACACAATACAGCTTATTGCAATCGAATTTCATTGTTCCTATGATATGAGATAATAGTCGTACAGATTCCCGATGGTGATCATTTACAAGTAGTATGGATGCATGGTAATCTAATTACAGCGTATTGTAATTGAAGTCATAATATTATTTAATCCATAATCGAGAAGGTAATTAACTTCTTTGGACTTATCGAAAATCAACCAAGTTTTCCATAATTATACGATACTTCCTTGACTTACTAACGCAACTCTAGTTATTGAAAATGAAAACTGGACAAACTACTTCACACACTACTGCTAAAACAGACGTTGTAAGGACGTCATGGAGAAAGTCGGTCGACTGGAATTCCAAGCACAGTGTTTAGAAGAACGCCTTACACCGACAAGTCTGCGGGGGACTTCAGGAATTCAGATAAAACCCCGAAAGACCGAAGGTAATTACCTCGAATGAACGTCAATCAAAACGTTGAAATAGGAAGACAATTAGCAATACTGACGATAGATTGATCGTGTGAACAATGCAGATCTTCGGAGGATATTTCATCAATTTAAAGTGCCGTTTTTCTGTACACACAAAAAATTTATAAAAGAAACGAAAACGTAAAATGAACCAAGGAAAGGCAATCAGTAGTGATGAGTAAATCTACAAATAGTTAAGCTAAGACCTAAGAGTGCTATAACAGATTTGCTAGCGCCACTGCCATCGACTTCGGGTCAAATCGTTTAGTAATCTCAATCACAAAACAAGCTACAATCACCAAGGATATAGTTCTCAAAAGCGAATAATGTTGACACATCCGTAAACTAGTGACATCTACATGTCACCACTAAAGCTCTTAACCCATATATACGAAGCCTCAGTTGTGATTGAAAAATATATCCTCCAGGAGTCCCAGTCCTTAGTAGTTTACAACACTATCAACTACTGCACCTTAAACGAGGTGATTAATTGACATTTAAATAACACGATAAATGACATTTTAAAGACACTAACTAATAACTAAAAACAGACCTTTCATTTTGTCGTCTAGAAACCATTTAATGAAACAGGACGCTGATTGTGAAAATCTTTGCATCATAAATCAAACTGATACATTAAGATAAAAGTGCTTCGATATTTGTATCTGAAATTTTGTATGATGCAAAGTATACACGCGTTAGCAACAATAATAAACGTGCGCAGTCACTGGTATTTGAAAAGACTTATTTTCACCATACCTCACTAACTTAAGGTCAAGAAACATGAGTAAGTTGTTGCCCCCGCATTTATTCTGTGATTTATCAAATGGTGAATAGATGACACAAAATATTCAAGACCGATATGAACAGATTATGACTTTAGAGTGAGATCAAGAGGTAAGCGAATAAAATTAAATATTTTATAAACAAAACAAAAGGCTGACTAAATAAACTATGACATGAGTGAAATGAGGCGGTGTTTTACTGGTTTGCAGTAAAGATGACGAGTAATGAGATCTAGTTATGTTTAAAAATATCTGATCTGGTGAATGAAATTGTTTCATTCGAAACCTAAAGCTGGTACTCTGTACTGAAGATGAGTGTAGAAGTTCGCTATAAGCTCTAAGTCGACCAACAATGTCTGGGTAAAAAAAAACCGAGGCATTTACGTACTTTCTGGTAACCCTTCTAATGACGAACAACGCCACAGGACTTTCAAATAGACAGTACGTGTGTCATATGTTCCAGTGTTTCGAAACCGAACGAAAGGTATGTTTTCGGTCAGTGTCCACGGAAAGGGTTTAAGTTAGCTGTTCAGGCGTTACATATTGGTCAGATGACAACAGGAACTGTATCAGTCAAACTGATTTCTCGGAGGTTATTGTGAGAGACTTCGTCTAATCATATGAGGTTACATACAACTTCAGGCTCTAATTAGTATCGTAGCTGCTTTAAATGAAAGCGTTTGGCCACCCCTATACAATTCTATGCAGTTGATCTGTCATGTCATGATCTCACTAGGTTTGAGTGAGAGTACACTACCCACTCACACACAAAAATAGTGAGTCACTAGGTAGTAGCCTGAAGCCAGCAGAACTGCTCCTCATGTTTTTCTCATTATTATCATGGTTTGAAAGAAGACTACGGGTTAACTTTTTTCAGAAATGATTTCGATAACCGTTTACTCTATAATCTAACAACTTATTGCGTTATCGATCACTGTTTCTTTCCTTATGATTTTGACTTTTGCCTTCTTTAATTACGACTACTGAAAAAATTTTTATCAATCGATGAGTAAACTTCTAAATTCTTTATCATAGTTGGAGGAGGTAGGGATGACTTTATGAGCACCTATTAATTGCGCTAAGCTCCGAGATATATCACTTATTTGTAAACTATCGGTCCAAATAAGCAGGTGTCAAAGTTATGCTTATAGATGTTCATATAGCACACTCAGCTTCAAGGGTCTGACGAGTTCTTTAAATATATTCTTGGGGTTTTCATATTAGATAGGTGGTCTGAAAGGGATTCCTACTATAGACTTTTCACCAGTTAACTATTACACTAGATAATGACAGAAATTCCTAGTTATGTCTTCGATGTTGACTGATAGCAATATAGTCAATTTGTATCCATTGTTGACTTAAGGCAGGGTTCATCTCTTTACATCCTTCAGGTTAACACATGCTAAGAATGAAAAATCCCCAAGATAAATGCAGAGAATGACCTATGTACTCGAACACGGCGAAGGATTAATGTGCAATTTAAATGATAGTACCTACTTAGGGACGAAAACTATCGTCATAACTACTACACCTGATTAAGGGGACTGGATTTGTAGAGAAATCCTTCCCACACTTGAAGTTTGTCCGCAGAGCACAATGGAGAGTTACCAGAGGTAAGTCACAAACTTCCTGCAAGCGGCTTTCGAGGTACCACGTAATAATCAGACTTTACAGCCGCACAAGATCGTAAGTTGGGGTTTGGTTTTCTATTTACGGGTAGGCAGAATCGTTGTTGATAATGCTCACACAAAGAAAACAACACAATAACCTTACATTTTCACACAATGAGCAGCACAGCTTCGTCCTTGAGATATCTCCTTAAGCCTAAATCATTCAGGGAACGACTTGGCTGGCATGATGCGACCCCAGGGAGCAAGTGTTTTAGTCAATGTAACTCGACTGAATTGTTGTAAAAACCAAACCTGACCAGTCATTCACGGTTGCAGCTATAATGAGGATACTACTGCGGATTGATTAAAGTGCAAATACTAGGGTTATTCATCACTCAAACACTTTGTTTGGAAATGACTAGGCTTTCAAGTATAAAGAGGGTAAAACAGAAGTGATGAAAGATATCTCACTTGTTCGATTCCGTTGGAAGAACAGCTAAATTATATGCATAATTTTAACTAGATTACAAAATTAGAGAAAACAAGCCGTGACTTGACGGGTGAAACTCTCCAGTGTATTTTCTAAGAAACAAAGTGATGCATGAGGACTAAAAACCAACTGTGAATATAGTCTCGAAGCCTAGATTCAATGCACAACAGGAAATTCACAATTGAGAACCCACTTCACTGGATTTGTAAGTTAACTTGGAATGGACTGAAATTGGGGACAATCGTTTCACTAAATCAGTGATGATAGCATACAAAACAAAAAAATGAAAACAACAGACATGAAGAATATTAGCAAAATATTTATCTTTGTCTACATGCTTGTATAATATAATCCATCTTCATTGGGTCAATGGGAAAGCGTAATTAAAGCAGAAATTTAATGCATGGCGCAGGCGTTACCAGAAAGAAACAGGCAGAAGTCGGAATTCATAGTTCAGGGCTAAGAAAGACAATACAGGATGCAATAAATGAGAAAAATCGAATACAAGTGACTCCGTACTCGTTCCAATTATGATTTTCCTACGGAATGAGTTTTATTTAGAATAAATTAGCAACCAGATTCACATAAACATAATTAACATATACTAAATTTTATGAACATACATCTATAAAGGGAAAACTGAGATTATCAGAGTTAAAATGGTCAGATTCTACATCACGTAAAGTTTAATTTAAGAGATCATTAGAAATAAAAAGAAACGATTCCAAAAGTATCAAAAAAGTTGAGTAATCACTTCAAGAATTTAGTTGATACATACCTATTTTGCAGTCCATATGAGACAGTTAGAATCCCATGACCCAGTTGCAACACCTATGCCACTATCAGATACTGTTACACAAGAGACCCGGTTTTCGTGGGCGGACATGATTCCAACACGTTCTTCTCGTAATAGATCCCACACGTGACAGTTGAAGTCATCGTATCCAGCAAGTAACAAACGACCCGACTTTGAAATTGCCACACTACTACTACCACAATTAATGAAGTCATCAATATAGACGCCAATAGCTTGATCAGCTCGTAGATCCCACAAATGACACGAGCCATCGTCGGAAGAGGAGGCGAAAGCATAAGAATTGACGGGAAAAAAGTCGACGCCATTAACATCTTGCTGGTGCCCTTCGAAGTACTGCATACCTTCGCCGCACCGAAGATCCCACAACCGACAAGTGCGGTCTGAAGACGCGGAGACAAACAAATTCGGCATCTGCTTCGACACGGCAATGGCGTTAACATCATTTGAGTGGCCGCGAAAACTTGTGGTGATCTTAGACTTTTCGATATCCCATAGTGCACAAGTTTTATCACCAGAACAACTCAGTAATCGATGATCATCAATGAATCGAACACATGCGATGTAACCATTATGACCAGTAAACTCGCGGACAAACTCTGCAGTGCCGTCCTGAGACTTTAGATTGAAATAAGATATGACATTATCTAATCCACCACTAGCCACAAAGTTCATAGAGGGCGAAAATGCACATCCAATGACCCAAGCTGTTTTCAAAGCTATCATATGAATTTTCTTCCCAGAAAATGTATCCCAAACGATTAATTTTCCATCTTGAGAAGCAGACAACAATAACTGGTTGTCAGAGGCCCATTGAATAGACGTCACCTTAGCTAGATGACCTCGTAAATGTTTACGTACTTTGAACTTGATTCTACCAAGTTCAGGTACGTTCTCCGTCATTTTGTAGAAGTCTGTATCTGCAACAGCTTTCTGTGCATCAGTAATTGAAGTTTTTAGATTCAGTATTTCTGCATCCAAAGCCTTTTCTTCTTCCGATATTTCTTCATTATATACTGCAGAGGCAATAGATCCAGCTCGGTTAGGAGCTTGCGCTAAATCTGAATTGTACGTGATTTGTTGAGCTACATCCATCACAGTAACTTTAAGGTATAGAACATATTACACAACAGGAGATAAAATATAAATCTGTAAGCCAAAATGTGTATACAAATGCATATTATGCATTAGCACAAAGCTGTTAGGATTCCCATCATTATCGTAAACCAGAACACGACCGATGCAAATATCAGCTAGCTTGGTGCTGTATCAACTGACTGGCTATTTTTAATGTTGTCCTTATATGTGGTAGAAAATCGATAAAAATTTTAACCAATCAGAGTGAAATTATCCAAGGCGTTAGTCTGTCAAGGTTTGAAATCTATGCTTAAATTGAGAAAATTTAGAGGTCAAAATTTTCGTAATATAGACAGGTGGACAAGAGACACACACCAATTAACTGAAAATGGAAAGGAATATAAGGAAAACGGGAAAGTGAATTAGTCAGTTTGGTTTTAATTTTTGGATGGAATAGTCTACCATTAACAGTCTTACTAACGTGTTTTTGATCATTAAGATCATTATCTTATTCGAAATAAGATTTACTAGGACTTTGTTTTAAACATTCCTAAAATCTGCGAACAGGCTATTGAAAGTGTGGAATATTTACTCAAATGACTAGTATGTTTCATTTAGTTCTGAAAATAGATTAATTATGGAGTAACTCCTGATAGAAAATCGTTTCATAATAGTAGGGGGTGTTTTGACAGTGTACAACCACCACATCTTCAGTGATGAAAGCCGGGAACTTCAGTTGTCGTCAGAATCACGATATATCTAAATCAATAAGTCTCCAAACAGAAGTGTATGTTTATAATTTGAGAGAATTTAAGATACTTGACAACCGTCATCCGATACTATCAGTGACAAAAGTCTCACTTTCAACTTGATCGTATCCTACATTTCATGTCTCCTCACTAGAATTAGGAGAATCTACTTCTAAATTATTCGCTATTAAGCACATATTTGCTATGAGATTGTCCACTTTAGGTTGTTTAATTTTGTGCTTGTATAGATTTATCTAGTTTGAAGATAATTTCCACCACTGACTGAAAGGACCTGTTAAAGGTACTGGTTCAAACACCTCTCCAAAACACTTTAATGTGACAAATGTTCAACACTGAATACAGACTGCGTTATTTTCAATTGACTGAACTATTGTAAGTTACGATCTCAAGCGTTCATACCACTTGACATCTTATTGTGCACCTTGAGTTTCTCTTAAGATGCATCATGGTAGCCACCTAGAGTATCTCGTTCTTGTCAACTCCTACCTCTGTACAAGTCTATCCTTTGATGTAAAACAGTACTATCCTTTCTTGGTTGAGATTGTTTGCGGATCAATTACCTGCTAAGGTGTAATAAACTAGAAATTGTTACCACTCATCAAAACGTTCCACAAATCATTCATTTCCAATGGTTCTCTAGGTGATGCTGAGCTGCTATAAAAATAATACATTGCACAAGGGAATCTTAATCGACCCAAGGAATAATGCTGACGAAGATAAAAGATGCTTCAGAATTGTGTTCAGTCTCTACATCTACTCAGTGACCATACATTTCTCAGCCATATGACTTGTATTTGACTGTGTTTCTGATATTCTCTTGAACTACGGATAACTTACGTATGATAGATGGTAAAGAAAATGACTTCTAATCATTCGATAATTAATCGTTTTCATCATATACTTTCCGGTCAAGCTCACTGACATTTAGAGTTCTATTAATTCGTGTTGGCAATATATTTCTACAAATTCAGATGACCTTTTAGATAAATAAATATTCTCAGTAGCATTCCTCTTTTCTTATGATTGACCTTTCATTTGGACCAACCCATATAATCAATCCTTGAAATCGTCGCAATTCTACTACTCAGGAAATTTAATTTTGAAATAATCTCAGATAATACTTCACATCTACTCTCATCCTTATGAAGTTTATGTAGAATGCGTAACCTGATAGCCTTAGGTTCAATCACCGCAGACGTCATTGGTTCACTTTACTTAAAAGTTCCATACAGGGATAAAATAGCTATCCGATGATCCCTAGTTAGCAATGGTTTCTTAGTCAAATACAGTTTAATTATGTAGACTAACCTCAAAATGGATAGTCTACACTAAGTTTTCGTGATATTAGTAATCATAACCTTGGGAAATTTTCTTGGATATTTAGAAAGAAATGGTAACAGATAGAGTTCAACGATGTCAGATTTATCCCTGATGGAAATAGGTAATGGCCACATAATATCATGAATTGAAATGTGATTTCTTGGGATCTAATTTATTAGACCCAAGGTTATGCACTTGCTCTTAACTCTTGATGTTCTGGATTCGATACCTAGTAAGGTCATGAGTATTTACCGCTGTTATCAGGCCTAAAAGACTCCCAACATATCGTATTGATTTAGAGAATTGATAACTCTTTGAAATAGCTGGTCGTTTTCCAAAGAAATTATTGATATTGTCATAACAATGTTTACAGCACATTTTCCTTGTGGTCACATTCTGTTTCTATGTAAACTGATGTTGTATGATTGTGGAAAGTATTTATGATTATCTCTGCTTGTTTGGTGAAGTATTTGAAACATCTTTGTCACACAACTACATCTATAAAACCTCTTTTTAAGGATTGTCCATATGCAGAAGATTCGGTATGTATGAAACAAATTGATTGATGTAGCTCCTCTGTTTTTCTTTCACTAATATATATTTCCTCGAATCGTATCTTCGTTGCTTAGTCTTTCCCATTACCACTAACACTGCTACTACCTATACTATTTTGCGATCGGTTTTGATAATTTCGTCTTTCTGTGTTAATCGGGTTTGGCAACTTGGACCGATGTATGTACGTATCAGGTTCTACATTATGGCTGATTGACTTAACGTCAATCTGTTATTGAACAAACGTAAGATACTGATCACTCACTGAAGATTAATATTAACACTCTCCGATCTCAGTACAAGTATTTTTCATTGGCTACGATTCCAGATGTCTTTGTCCATCAACGTAGTACTTTTCAAACATCTAGAAACAATGTACTTTATTGAAATCCATTCTGAGAAAATTTCTTCACCAGAGGTGCATAACCTAGATGAAAATAATAAGGAAGTTCTCAACGATTACAAACTATTTTTGTGTTAAGGAACACGACTAATGGATTTTGATATAATTTAGCTTTCTTGTTAAGGGGTTAACATCTTTTATAGTCCCACAAGTCAATTCAGCCCTCCTGTCACAGTTCATAAAAGTACAACTCCAAGTGCTTCGAGGATGTAGTTGAATGTTAGTGCCGTTATATTCTCTCCTTTACTCCAATCACACAAATTCCTATAACATAATAACAGTACATACTAACGCTAGCCAATGCAAATTTTCGCATGCCTAACTCGTAGTCAGGACAATATGATCATATTAAGTGAAATATATCCGCTAGATCACATCCCGCTAACTAGTACCACACATTATTTAAGTAATACTGGTAATTAGTCTTCTAATTTTCAGTATTTGGTGACAGTTGGTAGGTTTTACTTTTGTTAGGGACTTGTTTTAGAGATCTAAAGCTTCATTTTATTTTAAAAAGTATAGGTATGAGTACCGTGATAATGATCATCATGGAAATCCTTATATGTGGAGATTATGTTGTCCACAGTATGGAAATGGACATAACTAGGGATGAAAGCATTAACCATTTTTAAACGAAATACTTTTATTAATTGAGTTTATAAATTTTAAATGATTAGTTAATACTACCCTTGTGATTAACGTGAACCACTTCGGTTAAGACAGAACTGTGAAATCTTTATTACACCTTTGCCCAGCCACACTAACTGCACACGAACATGAACAAGAAAGTTCGGAATACATCTGCCAGCGTGACTTGCTCCCCAGGGGCAGATGAAGTGATAGATATAAAAGAAATAGCTAGGCTAAATGAATCATTTTTCAATTTTGATATCAGTACAGACGCGTAGAGAACTTTAGTTGAAGTTTTCTTAGAACGAACGGTTTTTGTACTAAGTGTGTCACTCGTAAATGCTGGGCACAAAAACAGCGATTTTTGTTCATTCTCTAGACTCCATGTTGTTTTATTTTCTTAATTATGTTCATTTACAAACTTTCCGAAGTTATCAATTATCATGTAAGTGTTCACCAAAGCATTCGTTTCCTCCTCACAATTTCAAGTGTACACAGCATACTAACCATTTCAACAATTACACGTAATTTAAAAACCATAAACTCAAACATTAAGACAGCATTACTTTTGAAAATGACCATAACTTTTGATTATTAATTTAAAGACATAATTGTAGGATCCGATAAGTATTTATAGGGGATACAATCCTTTGTTTGCACATCTTTTTTCGAAACTATTTTGTCAGTAAAACGGCTTTTGAACAGAGAAAGTCGTGTGCGAATAACCATCCTTTCTCAATGTTCATTAAAATTGTAATATCCAGCATTTTTTTGTTCATCTAATGATTGAGAGCATAATTTTCACTGGGAATTTTATTTCAATCATCTTGAGTCATATATATACATATCTTCTATGAACTAACCCAACTGGACTAAAAAAGCAAATAAAGTAAAAATTGTGGCTTCAGATGAAATTCTAGGTGAAAATCTCCTTATATGTAGTGCTCGCTCACTAAATGAACGGCGAAATGCTTAATTATGCTTCACACAGCACAGATCCTGAATATTCGGAAATGAATGCGCTAAAAATTAACGGACACGTATCTTACCTCAAGGATTGTTGTTATTTGAATAAATTTTACTGAACTAATCAATAATTAATAACTTATTGTATTAACAGTTAGTTTTCAACAAAATATTCACTAGGTGACTAAGTAGTGAGAATATTAGAACCTTTTAAACTAGATCTGTAATTCCTTTCCAAAAAAAATTACTTCTTAAATATTTGTACTCAGGAGGATGAGAAAACTTGTAAGAGATTATTTGTAGCTTTCATTAAGCATGTATTCTATGAATTTATATCAAAAGTAATACAGAATAAGGTTACCAATGTTCAATAACGTTCATATTTAGTTACTAGGTTCAGGAATTTTGCATAGATTCGAAAAATATTGGTCGTTTACAGCACAATCAGTTGTTCGCGACTCATAAGAAAATTATATTAGGTTTCGAAATATGAAATTGGTTGATGAATACTTATAACATTTTGATTTAATGACTCATTCAAATTCTAAGTACTTGAG